AAGATATAATTTTGCTTCTTGTACTAATTCTAGTGTAGGTCTCGTTGGTGGAAGTCTGTGTGATGTGGGACAATGTTTGTCCAGAGTGACTCCAAGAAAGCCCCACTCAGAGTATCATTTTCCTGATGTTATATTGCAAGAGAAGAGTGACCCAGATGACCTGCACTTGTGTTTGGTCTCTTCAGTACTGTTTTGTATGAGGTTCAAAAAACTGCTGAAGTGGCAAGATACAGGAAGATATGCGGCCGTAGAAGCGTGTGCTTTCCATTTTAGGCTTGCTGGTGTCTCTCTGTAATCAGCAGTATCTGTACTGGACCTGTGCGATGCTTTTCCAGACAACACTGAACTGCTAAACTGTAGAAACAAATTATTCTTCTTCTGGAACCCATCTGCTGTATTTATGCTGCTTCTTAAGTCACTTAACTGAGGCTGGTTTACAATATATGGGTGTCTGGTCTTACTTCTTAGGTTTCTTTTTTGATACTGCTGGTAGAGATTTGAGACTTTTTGCTTATGCTGGCATAGACAAGGGAGTAACTGCAAGTAAACAATCCTGTGTCTGACAGCAGTGCTGAGCCCTATCTCCCTGCCTCTGCTAATAACCACTTCCTATCCAATAGAGAGGATCGAGGCTGAACCAAGCCATACACGTCAGCTCAGCGGTAGGTCTCGGTGGTTAGGAACCACTTTTCTGGATAGGAAATATTTCATGCTAATGTCAGATGCCTTCTCCAGATGGAGGATTTCTGTGATTTATTACACCTGTACACCTACACCCATATAGGCTCGATGCTGTAACAGAGTAAAGACCCCCCACTCTCTCATAAGCAGTCCCCCACATATGAAGAAGATGGTTTGGAGAAGGAAACTTAGCTATGAAGCTAGCTGGTTTGACAAAAAATGATTAAAAATGCTTCCATAATCTATGAGATTGAAAATTAAGCTCCTCTTATCCTACAGAAGTGACAGGTATTTGGGAGGAGAAGTAAAAAAAAATATCTATATATATTCCTGTACTTGGAACAACTTAGCTGACACAAAAGGGTCTTGTGCTTTACAAGAGAAAAAGAAGCCAGATTCCTCTAGTGCCTAAAGTTGTTGCTAAGAGATGAGCTGAATTATATTTAAAAAAAAAAAAAAAAAAAAAAAAGGCAAGCACACAAGACTAAAGAAGGAATTGTTACTCTCTGACCCAAGAATGTACTGGTGTTGTCTTGAGGAGGAGAAAAAAAAAAAATACTTTCTTCATGCACTCACTGCTCATTCTGGAACTTCTTGTTTGTGAAACATTTTCTTGAAACACTTTCTTGCTTGGGCACAAGGGTTGCAGACTGGTACATTCCATTCCTAACCTCCCGAACTCCTCCGTCTCACGAGTATACGTTTTCCTGTGTGCTGAACAAGTCCCTGTACACAAACAAACCTCAAAAGAGCATACACAAATGTAGGCCCTTATCTTTCCTGTCCTCCCTTGTCTGTCTCTTGTTCTGCCAACATGGCAAATACATTTTTGTTTTGCCTCTGTAACCGGCACAGAAAGATACTGTGTTTGCTTTCTCCTCCACCCCCTTTTTTCCAGCTGGAAGGTTACTGCAATCTTTAGCTTAATGTCGACAGAGACAGGAATGCTTTCTAAGCATAATGCTTAGATGTACTAATCCAAAAATTTGGATGTGTACAGCAACTTGTAGATGTGTCGCTCTGAAACTACAGGTAATCTCTGCTAACATAACCAATAGCTTCTCTTGGTGAGAATTAATGGGTGATGCCTTGTCCCCTTTCTCTGCCTGTGTGGCCAGAGACAGGCAACTGGGAGGTGCTTATACCTCTCTCTTGAACAAACAGTGTTGGCCCCTCTTCTGACAGGACATCGGCATTAAGTGGCTATCGCGCTAACCTTTTGTGGCAACTTCCCTAAAAATAGAAGTGGGCATGAAGTTAAGCATAAACATGAAACTGAACTGAAATGCAAAACTTGCATTGCCTCAAATACAGCTCCCTCTTCATGTCACTCAAAGCTTATCTGTTCGTCTTAAAATGAATCCTTTTAGCTGAATTGGGTGATCTGATCTAACTAAAAGAATGTGTCCTGCTGTAGAGGAGATGGATTTGTCTTAATACTGTTTTCCGTCTCCTTTTCCCAGGAGCTCTCTTGATTGCTTCTGCTGTATCTCTCCCAGCTGTCAGCTCGCTGTCTATTTAAACTGCAGCCTCTCAGGGTGGGGTCTGTGCCTGCATGGTTTGCGATGCTCCCTTGCACAGGGTATGGGATAGCACCATGGAAACCAGCAGCATTCCAAAATAAGTCACAGACCCCTTAAGTAATGCTCGCTTTATGGAACAATTTTCAGAGTGACTGTGTTATAAATAGATCCTATATTGCAACAAGGGATGTGCATTAGCAGCTACTTAAACTTAACGATATTCCAGAAATCCAAGCAGCAAATAGCTACGTTCTAGTATTAAACAAAATCCAAGGAGCAGAGTCCTTGGAAAGCTTAGCTATTGCAGCCTGGAACTATTTCACTGGTATGCCATGTTTCAAGGTTCTCTTCAAGCCCAACTTTCTTCTGCATCTGCTCTACACTACGCATTTGTGTGGGGTGCAACTGGAGTTTAATGCGTAACTATGGTGATTCCCCTGTGTCTTATAAAGGACTTGGTACTTAGCATCCACTGAAGGTAGTGCATATTGAAATAAGAGGTTTAGAATAGAATTGGAAAATTAAAACATCCTCATTTTGCTTTTTCGTTTTAATCTTTCACTGATCATTGCTGGAAATTCTTCTGCTTCTACCCGCTAAACCCATATGGAGAGTGCCTTTTTTGTGCGTGGTAACTGTAAAGATGTGTGGTGTGTATGTGTGAGCTTGAGGGGATTTTATTGTGACCCATGTGAAACCAGAGTAAAAAGTTCTAAATGGATCAGACTGAAAGACATACTGCAAGGTATAGATTCTAGCATGGCCCACTAAGACAGTGGAAGTTCAACATACCAGTCAGTACTGAATGCAGTTTCCTGTTGCCCTATCAGTCTTAAAAAGAGTGGGGTTGCTTCTGCCATATCTGCTGTTTTTTCACACTGAGATAGAATATAACCTATATAGCCTCTTGAATCTTTGGCAACCAGTTTAAATAACATCTTTCATTAATGGGTACAAAGGGGCAATTTAAGTGATAAAGTGATCTCTTAATAATATCCTAAGTTCAGAATCTTACTGCATGCCCTACAGTTATCAGTAACATTTACTTCAGGGGACTGCAGTGAGGACATTTAATCAGTTGCAAAATCATTTTCAGGCTCAGAAACATTATTACAGCACTCGCCCATTAAATGTATTGAGAAAGACAGCATTATAATTACAATCTATTTTTTTTTCTGATGGTCTAACTCGAAGATGCATAGAAAATTAAGTGGTAAAAAAATACTGGAGCTGATTTGAGCTGCAAGAGCTGGTCTATTTCTCTATGTAGGAGCTGGTTAAAAGTTAATCTTGGCTGTGTTAGGGGTAAAGCAGCTTAGAAGGATTGAAAGTTATGGCTAATGCTGCTTTTAATTGGTTCTTAAGGCAACCATTTGGGTTCAACATGGCTTTACCATTCTAGCAGGCATCCTTATTAACAAAGGAGAGTACCCCCCATTGAGCAACGTATTTATGGAGTAAATATTGCAAAGGAAATCAATGCATCTTGAGCCTACATCTTAATCTCAAATCAGGGGGAGGTAGAATTTCTTGAGGATGCACTAAGCTGGATCCTAATGCAAAGATACCATGAAAAGAAAAAAAAAACTCTTCAGTGCATACTTACGTCTGGATAATAGTCCATGGTGGGCACCAGGCGCTCTATCAAGGCCTCCAGAGATCCAGAAACAATGTTCCCATCCTGATAAACAGGGTCCACGCACCTCTCTCCCATGTCTGGCTGCACTTGCCCACTACAACTGGATCCAAGCATACTGGAAAATATTGGCGTCTGGGGCATAGTTTCCTGCAGAAGTGGGGAGAGGAAAAAAAAAAAAGGGTTAAGCTTTCCCTGAGTGTGTCTTATGCAGGGGTGTCACAGAGGCGTACATTGCACACAATTACATATCTGACTGCTTGCAGCCTGGGCACTTGAGCGAAGTTCTGCCTCCAGCCGCACGTCCCGCAGCTGGCTGCTGGCTTTGAAATGCACGTGAAACTGTCACCGAGGCTGCAGCCGCGGGAGCTGCACCAGTTCTGTTCCCTGCACTTGATTCCTCCTTTCTCTCCACTTTTCCCCTGGCTCCCAATGCTGAGCGCTGCACGGGGATGAAAGGTAACTTGCGTTCTGAATCCTGCCTCGCTGAACAACCCACAGCCCCTCTGGCCTGACGCCCCTCTTTGCCCTTTCCCGAAGCCGATCTGCGGGTGCAGTGACGGTGAGCAGCCCTGTGCCGCTCCTGGCGCTGGACGCGAGCCAGGGTCCCTGCCGAAGGGCACCTCCTGTCCGTGCCGCTGGGGCCGGGGGGCTCACAGCCCTGGCACCCACCTGCCTGTCTGTGCCCCCCGGGTGCTGCGGCACCTCCTGCCCCGCGCAGCGCTGCGAGCAGCCCCTGGCCGATCTGCGCTCAGGAGCCAAACCTGCTGCCCCCAACGCCGCCACCGCACAGCCTCGGGCTTTCCCCCTCCCTCCCTGCCTCCCCTTGGCCGTGCCCCGGAGTTGCGGGGCCGTGGGGAAGGCGCCCCCCGACCCCCGCGCGGGTCCCGCCGCTCACCCTCATCTTCCCGAGCCGCCCCGCTCCGAGCCCAGCCGCGCCGCCGGCCCCGAGCCCCGAGCCCGCCGCCCGTGACGTCAGCGCCCAGCGCGGCGCCCGTTGGCTGGGCGCGAGCGGGGCCCGTTCAAACGGAGCCGGGCCAACGGCGCGGGGGCGGCCGGGGCCGCGCGCCCGCGTGTGCGCGCCTCGCGCCCGCCCGAGGGGCTCGGGGCGCGCTTCCCCGCGGCCCGGCTTCCCCGTTCCCATGGCGACCGCCGCGGCAGGGGGCGGGGCCCCGGGGCGCGCGCACGCGGGGCGCGCGCGGGGACCCCAGAGCCGAGGGCGTGAGGCGGCGCCGCGGGGGCGGGCTGAGGGGCTCCGGTACCTGCAGCTGGGCGCGCCGCCAGGTTTGGAAACACACAGACACACACCCGGGGCTCACCGCGTGCTGGTCACATACATATGCGTATTGCACGTTTATATATACATATACTTGTAGATACGTGTGCTGGTACGCATGCACGTGTATATATATATATATATATATAGGCACCTGTGTCACAGAAGGGAAGTTCAGGGAGGTAGGGGTACTGCTCCTTCTCTAGCACGCGCGATGCTCTTTTTTGGGGCACTGTATCGCGTAGTGTTGGGAGGTTGTTGCAAAGGTAACATTTACAAGGCAGAGAAGCTGAGGACCTAAATTCAGCTGGTGTAGCGTGCAACAGATGAGTCACTGTATCCTTCCGTTTCCATTTCTTTCTCTGTAAAACCTTCAGCTATCTATATTCTGAATGTTGAAATCTGTAGGTACGGAAACTCCCTAAGGTTTAATTCTTTTTTAAATTATTTTGTTTGCTTGCTTGCTTGTTTTGCTGGAGTTATGTAAGTTCTGTTCCTGAACAAATTGCTTGCATTTTGGAGATGTTTTCATTAGGCACTGCCTCATGTTACTGGTGGGCGGGCCCTGGAGCAGGGCAACCAGCGCAGTCTGTGCTTGTTCTGCGGCTCGCTACAAAAACAACTTGAGGCAACGCCGCGCTGGTTCAGCCGGGCTGGCCGGGGAATCTCTTGCTGCAGCGTGAGTCAGCAGAGCAATGTCTCAGCCTCCTCGGCTGCTTCAGCCCGTCTAAAACCAGCTAACATCAGCATACACCGTATAACACCTGCTGCTGCCTCATGATCAATGAACTGGACTGGCATTTGCACCACTTGGGTTCAGTTCCTGCCAGTGCCGCACACTTGCTGTCCAAATTGCCTGATCCTGCTGAGCCTCGGTGTTCATCTGTGAGATGTTGATAAGGATGTGTTTTCACACTGTTGCATTACTTTGTCCATTTTTATATTTGGATAGTACGTCCTTGTTTTGCTGTTTGAATTTCCTTATATAGTCACATCTTCTCTTGGGGGGCTGTTAGTCGATGACTTGGGAAAAGTAAGGAGTATTAGCAAAGAAGGTTGGGTGAAAGTGATGGAGAAACTGACTTGAGAGTGAAGATTGTAAAACAACAGTCAGTTTCCTTCCGTGGTCTTATAAACCAGCGTTTTGGAAGCTACTGACTCAAATGTGCCTTTGTGTATTTTAAAACCTAACTGTACTGAAGAGAAGCAAGCAATTACAAATATCATTAATGCTGATCTGAGACTATAACTTCAAGTGTAAAGGGACTCTCCCAGAAATGCTGTCTTTGTAGCTTTCCTTGTCAAGCTAGGCTTGTTGGTCACCTTGCACAGGGATCTAGTTGTTATTGTTTGGTTTCACATAACCCAGTATGCCGACCTGATTTAAAGGCCCAGCATCTGCAGCAAAGGAAGTAAAGAGGCGCAAAAACAGAGAAGACATGGAAAGGAAACTTAACTGAGCATGGCATTCTTCACGGTGCTGATTAAATAACAAAATGGGACAAAGCCTACATCTTCTGAAGCAAGCCTGAGTTAGTGTGTAGCCTTGTTTCTTACTCTGAGGGTGAACTGTTACTCGGGGATCTACGTGGTGATGAGAGTGGCCAGCATATAGAAAGGAGCATGTTTTGTCCCTCTCCAGCAGTGCATTACCCCTGCAGAGCTGTATGATTTCAGAAACCATTTTGATATGCCTGTTACAAGCATAGTTATAGCAGTATATTCTTGGTTCTTACATTTCAGAAGGCTTTCGTGAATAAAGCCTAATATCATCATTTAGAGAATGGAAAAAAAAAAGGTGAATTAAAAATGCACATTATTATACATATTTTTTATTGATTAGTGGTCTTGGTTATAGACCAATCAATTTTAACTGGATCTGAAATGCGGAATTTGTCCGGGAAATGCCATCAAATTCTACAAGCAGTAATGATAGTGGCCTAGTATGGAGTGTAAGAACTTACAATTTCAGAAGCAGAATGGAGGTGCAGCTTCAAAGCCTCAGGCAAATGTCTTCGAGGAATAATAGGTTTTTAGACTAATTTGTTGGGCTGCACAGATGTTGCAGGATTCCTTGTTGCACAGAAATTTTAAGACTTGAAACCTATTCTCAGGCAGCTTTTAGATGAATTCAAACATTGCTGAATTTCAGAGATTCATGCTGCAGAATAATTTGATGGCACGTTAATAACTTGGCAGCAGATGGGAGTGGGAGACAAGTGCTTCAAATCGTGGTTCTGAGTTCAGCAAGGCTTTTAAAGCTTGCGACTTGAAGTGGGATTGAATGCTGTAGCTATCAGTCTGTGGTTACTATCAACCACGCTTCTCTCTCTCTCTCTGACCTGGGACGTGATGAATATTTCCACACAATGGTTTTGTCAGAGCCAATGAATTTTGTAGTTTGGAAATGGCATTTTCCATTTTAAAAATGTGTTGAAGAGGTCTTGACCAGCTCTACCCCTGAGATACCCAGCAATTTTCAGAGCAAACCAAGCTGAAAATATAAGAACAACTTAAGATGTGTTTCATTGTTGTATGTTTTCAATGCTACCTGAAATGGAAAGCTAGTTGTGAAAATTCACCCGCCTATCTGGGGGACAAACTATGTTTTTATTGCCATGAGGTCAGCCCTGTGACACACCACTGAGAATAACCGTTGAGCACTGTGAAACTAATCTTTTGCTGATGCTCAGGACTGGATCTTGCCGTTGGACTGAAAGCAATGCTCTTCCCCAGGATTCAGAGAGGGCATGGTGCTTATTTCCAGCTATTTGTGCTGGTGCCAACATAGCAGACTCTTAACATAACGTGACACACGTTGACTGTGATACTGGGGTGTGGCTGCTCAGTACTGACTGAGATGCTAATGGCTGTTTTGGCACAGTCGCCTAAAGAAGTTCACTAATAGTAAGTTTGGTTCCCAATTTTCATATGTGTTAGAATTCTCTTCTTTTTAGGAATTAACTTGCCTGCTAATTGAGATTTAGGGTACATTTAGGGAAACATCGCTGTAATGTATCATGGGTGTCCTTATGTTCTTGGTGGTACGGATGAATCAAGTTTGTTTAAAAAACAAACACGCGTGCATACAAAACAGATTAAAAAGGGGTGATAAACTTCCATGAATCATTGATGTAGCAACAGGAACATCTTACAAGTCTGATGATCTCAGGTCATTTAAATGCGTAGAGAGCTAGTCAGAGAGTGAGTGACAGAAAAAGATCTCGGAAAAAGATAGTTGGCTTAGCCTGGTCTGCTTAAAGGCGCTGCGACAACATGTCATGCATAAATGCCAATTTAGGCAATCGGGGTGTAGCTGAACAGCTGCTTCTACTACAGTTGTAGATTTGCTCCCTTCTTATTCTTGTATGTTTGTGGAGATGTTGGAATCTGCTCGGTTTTGCTCGTGTCTTCTTTTTAAAGAAAAGACATACAAAATATATAAAGGCTGTTTTTAATGTTTGTGAGTGTTTCAGTGTGATTTTGACTATAATGTGAAAGAACAGAAGCATGTCAATGTAATATGCACTATTATTTTTTTAGGGTCTTTTTAAGCTGAATTTTTAAAAGCAGCCTATGTTCTATTTTAAACGGGGTCAAGCTTGGGTTCAAAATGAAGGAGTTCTGGTCTAATCCTAGCTATTTTGTCCTTCACTTGCATATTCATGCTTGCTGCGACACCAACTATTCCAAGAATGTGCCACCGTGCAGAAAGCGAAAATCAATTATGCCAAGAAAGGAGCATGTACATACATCAGCAATTTGGTGCCCAGGGGAAGAAAAAATCTGCATGTGTGCTGATGTCAATCTTCTTGATATGGTATTTTTGTAAATGCACGTGGGTTGCTATTTTTTTAAACCATCTCAACAAAAAAGAAGTTTATTTTTAGTGCTATAGGCTTTGGGGTATCACAATTAGCAGATCAAAACTGCCAATCTGAGAAGTCAACCCTCTGTTTGCTTTAGCAGAACCTATAACAATGTTGTTAGCATTCCCACAGGTATTTTGGAAGATTTATTAAGGTCAGTAAGATGGTTTTTTTTTTTTTTTTTCTGTTTTCAGTCTCTTTGGTTTTACAAATATAATTTTACAGCTGATGGTGAGAATGCTGGCTGGATGAGCTCACTTGCAGTAATTTGTTTGTATACCGGTACTGTTGCAAGCAAATTTCTGTTGGACACGTAATGTATCTCTTACCTGAATTATCTCTAGTAATTCAGTTCCTGTGCACATCTATTGCTTGGATTCTTTTTGCTGATACCAGTAACAAGTTCAGCAACAATTATTAGGGAAGTTTTAGAGTGGCCTAAACTCTACTCAGTGTACAGGCAGTTAACAGCTGTTGGTTTAATTCCGTTGACTTTATTTGGGATTGAACCAAACTAGGAACCTCGAGGTATGTATATTAATATCATAAGTAAAAGGTAAGGAGAAACACTGAGAACATAATTCTAGATTGATTTTAGAAACTTGTCACCAAAATACTAAGCATTCAAAAATGAATTTATTTTTAAGGAAACATTTTGATGAACAACGGGAGCTGGCAAACGGATGGTTGAGTCCCCAAGCCTACTTAGAAATGTGTGTGTAGATGGATTGGCTACATTGTGTTTCAGTATAGTTCGAGGCACATGGGAAGGACTTGCCCTGTTTTATCACAAGCACAGTGAATAAACAAATGTATACTGAGTTGATGCTGAGTAGTACAGAATATACAATTTTGTCTCATCTATAAGTGAATTTAGCCTTTCTATTTATCATGGGATGCAGCCCCAGACTATTCCAAAATAAACTTCAAACATGGAACACTAAGACATGATGACCCTATGGGGTCAGTTTTTGCACGGGATAAAACTGAGGACTGAACTGCTGGTGAACACCCCCTTACTATATATGCATAAATGTTGAGAGTAAAACAAAAACAGACTATATATTTTTCTTCCTTGAGTGAAATTAACTGGACAATTACTTAGTGGTCTGTTTTGCTAAAGGAGCTTGACATGAATT